GGGACTCCTGTCTGACAAATATTGACCAAAATCCTGTTGCTTACCTCTGCCCGTGCAACGGGAATTATATCATTGTCAGTGGGACATCGCTGTAGATTACAGACTATTTTTGATTTTGGAGTCCTTGTGACTTGCACACAATGAGATGAAGTTGGATGCATCCTGGAACTGAAAAGGGAAGTCTATAATCTCTGGTAATCTGCCACTGATATTGACATCATTCTGATTATGCAGGCAGAATTTAACTAACATGATTTTGGACATTCTATCACTGACAATACATACATGTTACATATATGGTAATATAAGAAAATCTATAACTAGCATAGGTTGCATTTTAAAAATGAATATGCTACAAAGGCAGTATTAAATAAAAGCAGCCCTGCACAGAAGACTGAAGTAGACTTTTTACTTCAAAAGGAACAATTAGTCGGTGCCTCACTGATTTAGCTCATTCTTTCCATTCTATTTTTAAAATTCATTATCCCACCACTACTGGTCTTACTCATTCTTAGAGAGACAAACATATTGCTGGGGCAGTCTATGCATGCTCTTGCAATCTGATAGAATACGCAAATGTGAAATACATGGAATTTTGGAAGCTCTGGGTAACATTTTGCCACTTCTTTCATACTTATTGCCATTTGTAAAGTATAACATATTTTACATCAGAATATTGACTCCACTGCCCACTGAACTCAGTGGCTAAGCAGTTTTCAGAGGTGATGTGGAAGACTTTGAGGTATGTGGTTCTGTAGGACTTGAATAGCCGCACTGAAGCCACTCTGAGAAAGGCACCTCAGAACTTCAGGACCTCCATAAATGCCATGGGACTTTTCTCACTGCATTTATTCCGACATTAACCAGTAACAGAGGAGAGAGGGGCTGCAGGTGGCAAAAGTGCATATATGCCTATGCACGCTTGCTTCCTTCTAGAGGGAGGATGTCTAGAGTCAATAGTCAAAGGACTTTGAATCGGTGTTCTGGCTTCTCACCTGTGAATTTTTTGAAGAGGGGTAGTATTGAAAGAGGTGGGGGGATGAAAGAAACAGTTGCAACACACAGGGAGCCTGAAAATGGAAGATCATGCCACTGAGCCACTACTGTAAAATTGTGTGAATGTGAAAAAACAATGACATCATCTAGGAGCAACCTCTGTCACTAAGCTATTTGCTATCACCAGATCCTTGCCTGCTCACTGTATGGACAAAGGCAACTTCTAACCACTGCTGAGTGGGAAACCTGCAATGCTGGTCTGTTGCAGAAGATGTGTAGACCTTTATTCTGCCCAAGATAGTTTATTAAGTGGTGTACCAGCCCAAGCTGGTGAAAGGTGTTTTATGCCACATGAAAAAATAGAGTGAGATCTAACAACATCCTCAGACTGTACACATGGTCATTTGTGGGAAGGAACCTTATCCAGAACAGGCTAGATACCACCCTCTGTCTAGAATTTAGAGGTCTCTTACACAGTGGTTGTTACTGAAAAGGCCCCTGGCACGCTCTGTTTAATTTAATTTAATTTTAAGGAGAGGGAAATTTGAGAGGTTTCAGCAGTGCTCAGAGGTGCTCAAAACAGGCTCCTGTGCCTTCCTGAGAGCACAAGAAGACTTTTTGAGTCATTTTTTTCTTTAGATGGGGCTGGTGGTGAGGCGCTCAGGGCGCCTTGGGGGTACTGGGGAGGACACATGTTGTCCAGCCTGATCTAGACAAGCGACCACCTCAGAGCACTCCTGTTTTGCCGGGCATGAGGTCTGGTTTATCACGCCTCATCCTGTTGATTACTGATCACAAACTGCAATCCAATATTTCCACAGAATTTGAAGGTGAAAATACATCAGCGATGCTTACTTCATTTACCATTTCCACCCTGCTGCATCTAGGTCAGCAATATTGTCCAAAGGTGCCTTGCCTGATGTCCAGGTGCTGTGTGCATCCCCATTAGCATTAATCAGAGGCACTGTTAGGGTGAGGAAGGCAAACTATAAGAGAGGCAGAAACAAGTTGCCTGTATTAGTTGCCCAGCAGAGATTGTTCAGTCCTATAACCAGCCTTGAAGATAAAACTGGGCTGGGTTGAGAGAAATGAACAAATAAAGCTCTGGAGCTTTTCTGCTGCCACGTGTTCAAAAAGCTTCCTCTGGAAATGGGACCCTCAGGCTAAAAAGTTGGCATTTAGTTCCTGAAGTTATCACTTATCAGGTAATAACTTCTCAACTTCTAGCAGCAAGCAGTTTAATTACAAGCAACCCTGGCACTAACAAGCTTTGTGCTAGGTACTCCTTGTCAAGTAAATCAGCCCTCTTGTGTCACATGCTCCTCTTAATCCACAATGCAAAAGGTGGCTACGCCCTCCTAGGATTCAAGAAATTACTCTAGCTAGAGTTATATCAGGCAGCTGTTAAGGACATCTTGTCCTCAAATGGTATTAATTTTAGCGTTTGAACCTGAGGTTTCTGTAGATTATCACACCTGAGTCTGTTATATTGCCATTTTGATATTACTGTATGTTTTTATAGGAATGAAGTGGGTGGGGGTTGTTGGGCTTTGCTGGTTTGTACATCATGCAGAGTAGAATGGATGGATGGATGGATGGATGGATGGATGGATGGATGGATGGATGGATGGATGGATGGATGGTGTTTTTCAAGGCAGGCGTCTTTTTTGTGCTTTCCCAAGCACACGGACAGGCCAGGAAAACTGCATTGACTGACTGACTTCTCCATGTATGCTCTGTCCAGGGAATTGCATTGGTCTCACTGTTGTTCCTGGGTGTGTACTGTAGGACACTAGTATTCACTGAAAGGTTTGTCTCTGGCTTATTAGATTAAATCTCTACCATTGTATATGTAAACTACGATACAAGTATTTAATTTCAGTGCAATTAAGAATCCTGTAGAACTGCACAACAATCTTATTGACCTGAAATTGTTGAGGAAGAAGTTTTCTTCTTTGCTTCTGAGAAAAGCCCTGTAGAAGATGGTTTGGGTCAGCCTTGCCAAGAAAGAAGGTGGTTGTGAAATTAATGCTGGGCCAGGTCAGCAAGAATGTAGGAGGTGAGTTGGGGGGCAGTGAAACTAGCCTTCAGTCATAGCTTAAAGGATTATTCATTATCTTGACCTGTTGTAATAGAACACCAGCCCTTGCAAAGATTAGAGTTTTTCCATTTTGGGTAGAATAGCTTGTGCTCTAAATGTCCTAAAGATTATAATTTGTATTCCTGAAATGTTTTGCTATCCTGCAAAGACTTTGCAATGTATTAAAAAAACCAAATCCTGGTAACAATGTGTACAATTACTGTGATAGGGAATATTATTTATTTTCCTTCAAAGCTAAACTGAAATTAGCAAATTCTAGGAGGACCAACTGTTTCTGTTTCCAAATACTTATTTGCTTTTGAGAGTCAGCCTCACTTGGTCTGGGCCACCTGGCAGTTCAAGGAAAGAAAGACAAAACCTTTTCATTTTATCTTTAATATGAATTCTGAACCATTAAAAAGGCCTGCAATGAATAGTTCTGTGCTGATTTCAGTAGTGCATATTGCCAAATAATAATAATACTTGTGGCCCCTGTGCCTATGCATGTTTCTTTCCAATTAAGTTCCTATAAGCAAATTTATGTTTTGTGCTGTGAAGTTGCCTCTGATTTATGGCAACCCTATGAATATAAGGGACGTGGTGGTGCTGTGGGTTAAACTGCAGAAGCCTCTGTGCTGCAATGTCAGAAGACCAGCCGTTGTAAGATCGAATCCATGCGAACAGAGCAAGCTCTCGTCGCTTGTCCCAGCTCCTGCTAACCTAGCAGTTCGAAAGCATGTAAATGCGAGTAGATAAATAGGTACCACCATGGTGGGAAGGTAATGGTGTTCCGTGTCTAGTCATGCTGGCCACATGACCACAGGAACGGTCTACGGACAAACGCTGGTTCTACAGCTTGGAGACAGGGATGAGCACCGTGCCCTAGAGTCGGACATGACTGGACTAAATGTCAAGGGGAACCTTTACCGTTACCTATGAATAAATGACCTGTAAAGTGTCCTCCTATTAACAGTCCTCCTCAGCTTGTATAAGCTCAAACCTGTGGCTTTGTTTAGGGAGTCAATGAACCTCATATTTGGTCTTCTTCTTTTCCTGTCGCCTTCAGCCTTTCCCAGCATTATTGTCTTTTTCAGTGATTCTTGTCTTTTCATGATCTGCCCAAAGTAGGACAACCCCTGTTTCATCATTTTTGCCTCTAGACAGAGTTCAGGTTTGACTTCTCTTGGGACTCCCTTGTTCATCTTTCTGACAGTACAGGGTTTCTGCAAAACACTCCCCCGGTAGAATATTTTGAATGAATCAATTTTCCCTCTTGGCTTTTGTAGCAATCACCCTGCTTTGGCTCATGTATGAGGTTATTTGCATACACCAATGAGAGCTGTTGGGAGGTGGAACTGGAGAAACTAGAAGGGAGAGAAGAGGAGTTTAGTCAGTTAGTCTGTGGGAGTTGAGAGTGTGGAACTTATAGAGAGTTAAGTGTAAAACAAGTTATTACATAACTACTGTATACTTTGAAGTCTTTGAAGAACCTGTTTATGTGAAATGGAACCAATAAACCCATTTTGTTCAAGTTTACACTCAGCATGGACATCTTTCTAATTAAACATTGTTGATGGAGATCAACTGGTGGCACCATAAAAGGGAATGTGTCATGGACCTCAGGCTAGTGAAATAATCTGGGCACACATGAGGTTACAGCTTTCTTCACTTTTACATCAAGGTAAGAGTATAGAATTTCAGCTTTGGGACTGCCATTTAAATTCACACATGCACCACTTGAATTTTAAATCAGGAACACCTGCAAAGATAATTTAATTTCTGATGTTTAAAAACAGAATGGGATGTAGGTGTGTCTGGGGGCTGGGAGGTGATGATAGTAGTGGAAGCTTTCTGGATGGTAACAAAAATGAGTGCAAAAGGGAAGAATTCTGTGACCCCTGAGAAAGAAATACAGAGCCACACATATTATAGATTTTAGAACTTATAATAAACAGCACACGTGAAGGCTTGAATATTATGCACGTGAGGCTTTATTTTCCCTGTTTTTGTGATATATGAGTGGTATGTCACAGCTGGAGATGGATCACGGAATACATTTGGTTTTGGTGTCCCTAGTCGTTTTCAAACTTTTCCAGTGAACGCTGTGAATCTCTGGATGTTCCTGCATTTGGACATGCTGTTGATGTTTGCAACGATTTGCCTGGGAAACAAATTTGCCTCGCTTGCATCGCTTCCCTCAATTAATGAATAGACTGCTTGTTCCTCTCACACATTCTCTATTTCTAGGAATATAAAATCAGGTTATGCAACACACAATCAGCATATGAGCTTAACAACCGTTGGCACCACATGTACATGTGTTTTTGTTTTAAGGAGGTTAATGATGTGATTAATTTCTTACTGAAACTTTGTAGAAGCATGGTGGAAAATCTTGTTCATAAATGCTTTAACCTTTGATGAAATGTTCATTAATGACTGTGAACCTCTTAGCCAAACCACCTGAGCAAACAGCCTTTTGTTCAGTAAGTAATTCTGTGGTAGGATCAGTTTTTTCTTCTTCTTGTAAACATTTGATGTGGTTGTTGCCACCAGTACTACTGTAAACATTTCTTTTGTTCCCATGTATGTTTCTTTTGAAGATGGGGGGGGGAATAATCTCCAGGTGGCTCTCAACCACGGCCCGTGGTGGGAACCACAATTCCTGTGGACAATATGGTGAGCACATGATCACAACACCACCTCACAAGCTTCAGTTTTATTAGCCAATGGAGAATTTTTGGTAACAACCTTTTTTCCCTAAACACTTAGAAAGAACACACCTAAATATCAAGCTGCTTCCAAAGATAATTAAAGACAATTCATCTGTCCTGGGGGAGTGGGGGGGCATGGGATGAGGCCACAGGCCTCACCCTACTTGGCTTTCTTCTTATGGTAAAGAGGGTGGAGATAATAAATGCTACTACCAAAATGTGGCATAGAATACACCCATTGTGTAATTCTACGCCACTGGTGCCATGACCAAAAGCATTAATGGTTGGCTGATAATATTAAATGTAGGAGGATACTCTTTCAAAAGCAAAAAAGGCTTGACTTGAGGAGCCGTAGGGTACATACGGATCAAACTAAGGAATGTTGTTGCAGTCCATAGCTCAAAAGGAATACCAGTTCTACCAGTTTAGCAATTTGAGTGAGGGAATAACATCACCATTATCACCTTTAAAAAAAATTGATGTAAGGATTGCTAATTTTTAATTTTTAAAAGTAACGTATATAACTATCTAGTCCCACGTTTCTTTTCTCTTTGGAGGTCATTCATGAGCCTTTTTGGCCATTTTCTATCTTTTAATAATCACATTTTTCAAAAGCAACTAAAAAATGCCTGGGCAATAACAGCAACCGACTCTTTTAAGAAATTAATAATACGAAGGAGGTATTTTTCAAAAGCAGTGAAGGAAGAATTACTTTGTTTTTTCAAAAGAAACGCTCCTTGCTCTGCTCTCCTCTGCAGAAGTGAATCTGCCTCCGAGGCAGCAGGAGACCTCTGTGGGCAGCACCAGCTTAGCTTGCTGTTTCTCTGTGGCGGTGCTTGCTGTGGAAGAAACACAACCGCAGCCTTGTGTCAGTAGTGATAACTGCTGAAGCAGAAATAGCAGAAGAAGATCTTAGTAGGGAATATTAATTATTTCTGCCTGGGCCGTATCAGCACTTAGCTGTTCATGTGCAAGATTGCACAGAAGAGGAAAATCCCCCGTCAGCCTCCACTGCCTTGTGCTTGCAAGGGAACACAGTTTCTGACCAAACTGAAACCGACAGGTTCCTTCCATGAAAAATGACACAGATCAACCCATGAAACTCAATGTGAAAAGCAGTCCTAATCAACCATGGCAAAAACAACAAAAAACAGCTTTGGAAAGGACTTCCTATCTCTAGCTAATCTAGGACTCATTGTTTATTTTTCTGGTAGTTCAAGATATCTGTAAAGCTCTCCTCCAGCATCTTATTTCAAATCATTTTTCCCTGTCAGCCTTCCTTTCTGTCCAGTTTTCACATCCACATAGTGGTCAGGAATACAATGGTGTGGATGACATTGGCCTTGGTCTCTTCATGCTTACACTTGATGATCTTTTAAATTCCTTCTTTCTTCCCCTTCCAAGTCTCAGTCTTCTAGTGATTTCTTGGCTACAGTCTCCATTTGGATGGATGACTGAAGCAAGGTTTTCAAACATTGGTCTTGGTCTCTTCATGCTTACACTTGATGATCTTTTAAATTCCTTCTTTCTTCCCCTTCCAAGTCTCAGTCTTCTAGTGATTTCTTGGCTACAGTCTCCATTTGGAATTGGATGACTGAAGCAAGGTTTTCAAAACCTCTATTTCAATTTCTGCATTGTCAATGCTTCTGTTGTCATGATTTTTGTCTTCTTAATGTTCAACTGCAGTTCTGCTTTAGCACCTTCTTCTTTTGCTTTCCCTAGAAGTTGTTTCCAGTCATTGCTGCTTTTTGCCATTACTGCTTTCAAAAACAATAACACCAATAATGTTAACAGTACGTATAATACAGCATAAACAACCCCAGCAGCACAAGTAAAAGAATTGAAGCAGATGTAAGCATTTGTGGAAATGAAAAGATCTGTTCAGGGGGGAAAAAGGAGCTGGGTTTGTCATGATTTGGGATCTGTACTGGGTTTTCCTGCATCATCAAGTTCAACGCTATCCCTGCCATTTCATGCACAGAAAGTGCAAGGCACATGTGATGTGGAAGCTTTATTCATGTGATGCTGCCAATGACTACTTGATTCATCTTATATCTGAGGGACATGAAATCAGAGTGAACAAAGATTTTATTTCAGTTCAGTTTTGATAGCATTTATCAGAATTCATGATTTTCTTCATATTTAGGAGAAAATGAACTTGAGAATTAAAAAAGCCAAATTTGTGAGCAAGTGTAATTGACTGATTCATTTATCTATGTGGAAGGACTGACAAATTTAGCTGTCCCAAGTCTGAATTTGAATCTTTGCATATTCAGCCATAATTTGGGGTAGAATATGGGTTGCAACCTCTTTTTCCTTCCTGAGAGGCTGTTCATCTCATATGGTAGGCAAGCACAAAAATCCTTCATACTGAATCCATAGGTTCTTATACCAACTGGGCAAACATGAAGAGGGTGCTCAGAGTTTAAAGGCTCTCTGTACAGACAAAAATCACACATTTCCTCACCTGCAGTGTCATTTGCCTTGCGATTTCTCCCCTGCTTGGAGAACAAAAGAAACATAGCAGTTCCCTGACACTTGTTAATCCTATTCATTTAAAAGAATGAATACAGGAGAAAGTGAAATTGTTCTTAACTTCTGTCAGGAATTTTGAAACCACTGGGTTAAGTTTACCTCAGAGAACAGTAACATCAGCCGCTACTGGACCAAGTCCATCTGTTTCTTCTTTATCTCCCCTTTAACCGAAGTCAGCACAGACTTGAGGGACATTCCAGTCTCTTGTATCTGTTGATTGAAAAATCATAGCATCATGGAGGACAGGGGCTGAAAGGGACCACAGGGGTCCTATCAAACAGGACATCAAACACACTCTGACATGAAACTGCCCTGTGCAAATTGCATCAGAATGAACGGGATGTGTGTACTTGTAAAGGGCTGAATGTGATGGTTCGCATATTTCTCCAAATCTAGCATTGTCACTTTTTATGAAAACAACAAGCCTGCACAACTTTTTAAGAGCTGCAAATATTTGATCTCTCATTTCATTAAATTTTCTTTTAAAAAACCTAAAACTATTTCAGGCTATAATCCAGTGCATACTTTCATTTGAATAAGTACAGTGGTGCCTCGCTTAGCGAGTGCTTCGCTATGCGATGAATTCGCATAGCGAGGGGGTCCGGGCCATCGCTGGAGCATTCGCTCAGCGATGGCCCCTATGGCGATTTTTCGCTTTGCGATGATCGCTAAGCGATTCGCTTAGCGATCTTCGCAAAACGAAGCGGGGGAGAACAGCTGATCGGCAGTTCCAAAGCAGTGCATACTTTCATTTGAATAAGTATTGCTGAATTTCCATCTACAGACTTGCTTCCAAACAAATGTGTATCAGATTGGGGTTTTATACTTCCTTATCATTTTTTTCTGCTATTGTTGTAGCTTTGACATGCAATTTTAGATTCATTTAACTGGGAGGAAACCACTTATTCTTCAGTAGACATCTATCAGACAGCTAGAATTGCACTTGGATCATTAAAAGAAAAGAGAATTACCTGGCTATCCAGTTCACACATGAAGCCCCAGTGTGGAATGTCCTCCACAGAGTTCACATTGGAATTTATTCATTTCCATTCTTGGTTTAAACCACGACCTATCCTCATACAAAATCAACACTTCGTGAAAAGGAAACATAAATAGTATATGGGATGTCCATGTAGTTTTAGGAAGGCATGTGAGATTTCCTCTGAACAGATCAAGATGTGTATAATTAGGAAAGTTACTAAGGTTAAGAAAAAGTTTAATCAGGAAAAAGTTGCCAAGTGTCAGCCTCTTCTACCACAGTTTCCTTCTCATCTTGAAATTGTTACCTAAAGAGTTAAGGCAAGTTTGTGCTGCATGGGAAATGGCAGGTAGGAGGTGATCCATTTCAGATTAAATAGTGGCTTAATTGAAGTGGATGCATTCAAAAGTCTGTGCAATCTTCAGAGTTGATTACATTGTGGCCTCCTGCCGATTTGTTTGATCTCAGAGTAGAAATAGGCTCATAGGAAAGAACTGCTGAGAGTGAATACATTCACAGGTATACTACAAAAGAGAGTATGAAGGTGAAGTAAATTGTGTTTAAATTAATCCTCGTAGTTTTGCAGCCCCCATGACCATTAAGGCTTGGCACTGTTGAGAGCATTATTATAATACAGTTCTCAACAGACTGCCTGCTGAGAAGCATCAGGCTTGACCTTTCTTTTGAGGGCATGGCACAGCAAAAAGAAAGCCTGTTTAAGCCCCCTGGAGTCCAAAAGAGCCAAAGAGTCCCAATTAAATCTTAGTCTGGAGAGGGAGTTTTTTATTTATTTATTTAGGTCAATGACTGCACTCTGAAATATTTTTTTAAAAAACAGAGATCAAATTAACACCTACTGGCTGAAATCCTGTTGCTTAGCATAAGTTAGTTGCAGTAGAGAAGGCTCATCAAATCACTGGAGATTTGCAGAGTCAACTTCTCTGTATGTTTCACTGATTCAAACAAGCCTACTCTAGTTGCAATTTACCACACTAAGTCTAGTAAGTCATTGTGTGGCTGTACTTGTACTATGAAAGCTGTGATAACTGACATCTATTATGACCTTGAATGTTGATTTTGAGGTGCTTTTAACAACTCTTTACTTGCAGTTCCTTACTCTACTCAAAAGTTCCTGGAGGTATAAGAAAGAAAATAATTAATAATTCACACTAATTTCAACTGTTCCCTAAATTAAAGTAGCTATTAGATGGCTAACAGAGGTTTACATTACTGTATATAGTGCGGACATTTAGTTCCTTCATATTAACAGAGGTTTACATTATATAGTGCGGACATTTAGTTCCTTCATACTTTGGAGAATTACTTGTCTCATTTTCTCTCATTATTTTTCAGTGAAGCTCTTGAAATTTAAAAATAATAAACATGATCAAATGGAAGTCTGCATGTGGAACATTATGGACTAGCCACTCCCTTTATTGCAGAAAAAATATGTGGGGGAGAAAGGAACAGAACTTAAGGGGGAAAGTTTCCCATATCATTAGTACCTGCAGTAACGATGCCAAATGCAACGGAGGGTTAAATCAAGTTGTAATAAATATGAGTGTTCCACATTTCAGGGATTTAGTTTTTATGAAAGTTTAGGGTTAAGTCTTAAATGTTGAGAACCAAAGTCAAAGGCTTTCAATGTTTGTTTTCATCATCATCTTTGAAATGTAGAGCTAAAAGGAACCCTATGTATCATCAAGTCCAGCCCCTCTCAAAGAGATACAGCGGGGAATCAAACTCCCAACCTCTCGCTCCGCAGCCAGAGACCTAAACCACTGACCTATTGCGACTACTCTCTGGGCTCCCCTCCTCCTCCTCTTTTAGTTTTCCCACCAAAGATGCAGTGGACACTTCATCAGGAACCAAAGGTAAGTCTTTTATTTCTAACAACTTTGTCACAACAGGTCCTCTTTTTCCCCCTAAGGCCTCTTGCTTCAGAGGGAATCTGCTTTCCTTTTTCTCCTGAAACAACCCTCTGGGTGTTGGGCCTGATTTATCAGGAACATCTTTAACAACTAGGATGGGTAGAAAACCCATCCCCCAAATGGTTCCCGTATCTGCTTCGTGCAATCTCTCTGGATTGGGTGCCTGAAGGGATTTGTCCCACAAAACCTCCCAGGGCATTCTTGACATCTTTCATTCACCCTATTCTGTGCTTCTCTCGCAAAATTGGTCCTTATCTCTTTTGGTGTCTCTCCCTTTCTTCATTCTGGCCCCAGTATGGGGGCTTTCTAGACTTGCTCTCGCCATTCTTGCTCAGCGGCGGCCTCCCTCAGTACTATAAAGTCAACCCATTCTGCAGTCCATGGATCCTCCTTTTCCATTTCTACCCAATCTTCCTCGCTTTCTGTTTTCTTCATCTGCTCCACTCCCCAACAGCTTCCTCTGGATCTCTGTTCTCTAAGTCTCTCCCTCTCCATTTTATTTTCTCCCCTTTCCCCTGCCCAAATAGCTCCCTCTCTTGGTATCCCTCTTCTCAGGTCTTTTGGTTCTCCTTCATCCAGGGTTAACCCCTTCATCTTCTCCCCCAAGTTCATCAGAGGCAACATCGCAGCTCCTTCTGAATGGGAGTATGGCATACCATCATCAATATTAAGAGTCACCCTCTGCGATCTCACACCTATCCAGCGGTTTCTGTTCTGCAACAGTAGAATTTTCCATGCAGCAATGGAGGACTGTGTATTGCAAAACCATCATGTGATAATTAGTATTAAAACTACCTATGTCAACTTCTAGCAGAAGTCACTAGAAAATCATGCAGCTGAGTTACACACTACTCAGGAAGTCAGATTGCAGGCAGGAGAAGGTACACATGGCTTCAGCCAGCATTGCGCAATGGCCAGGTATTAGGGGACTTGTGGCTTGAAACATCTGTAAGGCAACAAACTAGGAAAGGCTGCCCTGGATGGATGATATGACTGCATTTGAGAAGAGACAAGATAGCTGAGGAAAAAGAGTTATGAGGGGTTTGGGGTTGTCTTTTTTTTAAAGCTTATTTGATAGACAATTTCTGGAATATATGAACAATGAATAATATTCAGCCTTTGGGGGAAGCTATAAAAAGGCAATGTGACTTCAGGGTTAAGGGTTTCTGCTAAGGTTAACAACTATTTCACATTTATTCACTTCAGTGGAATGTTTCAAAGGGATAATTTTATTTTATTTATTTTTATTTTATTTTATTTATATCCCGCCTATCTGGTCGTATCAGGACCACTCTAGGCGGCTTACCTAGTCAGTAGGCACACCAGCATGGCAGACCCTTGTGTTAATCTGACAGCTGCTTTGTGCACAATAATTCAGACAGCCCTGGATATTTCACCGTCCATTTTGCTATGTGCTTCACCACAGCCATGTACATGTAGGTGTGTCATACCAAAAAAGACAAAATTAAATAGGTGGGATATTATTCTGTCAGTGCTACCAAAACCCTGTACATCATTAGCAGCTAATGCCCAGGAACATTGTTTATAACACTTCAGGTGGTAATGAAAATATCTTCCTGAAAGTCTAACTTCACACAGTGATACTATTTAAGTGAAAATCCCAGAAGCTGACTCTTTGTCATCAGTTAACCACTTCTTGTTGTTGTTGTTTAGTCGTTAAGTCGTGTCCGACTCTGTGACCCCATGGACCAGAGCACGCCAGGCCCTCCTATCTTCCACTGCCTCCCGGTGTTTGGTCAAATTCATGTTCGTTGCTTCGATGACACTGTCTAACCATCTCATCCTCTGTCGTCCCCTTCTCCTCCTGCCTTCACACTTTCCCAACATCAGGGCCTTTTCCAGGGAGTCTTCTCTTTTCATGAGATGGCCAAAGTATTGGAGCCTCAGCTTCAGGATCTGTCCTTCCAGTGAGCACTCAGGGTTGATTTCCTTTAAAATGGATAGGTTTGATCTCTTTGCAGCCCAGGGGACTCTCAAGAGCCTCCTTCAGTTCTTATCCAAACAGAAATCAATTATCAGGGCTGTTTTTTAATAAGTGTTAATATTGAACATAAGAAGATATTATGTAGACCATCTTGACTGCTGCCATTGATTTTTGTCAATTTCAAGGCTGGCCTTTGCTATGTAAAGCTGGGCATCATTTACCCAGCTGGTGATGTGGACATGATATTGTGCAGCAATATCGGACCATTTCTTGGCTTTCTGAATTGTGGGTACAGAAGCACAATATTCCACATTCATAAACCAGAGATTTTTTTTTGAAGAACTTGATTTCCTGGCTTTTTAAAATAGGAATTTAAATATACATATGCTAAACACTAATTCCAACAGAAACTTCTGTCATATAGAATCACTCAGTGCTAGAGGTTTCCAGAAGATGAGCACATGGCTTGTACTATGGTTACTGGGAGAAGATACAAGCAAGAAAAGCTTCGATGTGGTTGTGGTCCCTGTGTGCCAAAATATTTTAAAGGATGTTTTGGACTTAATGAAACAGTGAAGCAAATGTGTGAGTATGTACAATATGTACAGTACAGTGGACAAACACACACACACTTTAATAACTTGGGTAAACTAATATTTCCCTGCATGCTCGGCAAAATGCAAGCAAGAAAACTATACTCCAGTTTCCAAACCCTTTATGTTAGGCAAGCTGAGGAAGAAAAGCTGTATCGGAGCAAAGGTTCTATGGACGTATGTGTATGTTTCCCAAAATAAGTTGCTTTGATGTATCGGAGCAAAGGCTCTATGGACGTGTGTGTATGTTTCCCAAAATAAGTTGCTTTGCCTTTTGGAAAAAAAGGGAGGGGAGCTGGGAATTAGCAAAGAATCTCACTGCCTTTTGGGAAAAAAAAAAGGGGGGGAGCTGGGAATTAGCAAAGAATCTCACTGGAAACCAAGGTCAAAATAATCCATACTATGTGAAAGAAAGACAGTGAATAAAGACAAGGACAAAAATCAACTCATTTGAAATGTGGTGCTGGAGGAGAGCCATACAGAAATGAAAGATTGCCAGAAAAGTGAGTGTTGAATCAAGTCATGCCTGCACTACAGCAAAAATTGGTTAACTGAGCCAGTACTACCAAGTGGGATGGAGCAGTGGGAAAAAGGAAGACTTAACATGCGATGAGTTGACTCAATAGTGGAAGCCACAACTATTAGTTTGCAAGATCTGAGCAGAACTTAATGGAAAATACAATATTGCTACAAAGGGAACATAGTAGGAAGAGAGAACAATGTAACATGATGTTAGGTCTTTAAGAAATATTGTAATTAGCAATTGGTTATGGCCAGTACAGGTGGAGTTAATTAGGTACTGAGTCACTACCTACGTGACTAGTAGAAGACAGCCCTGATAGATAAGCTATCCTGAAGCAAAGCACTAATTTGATTAGTTGAAGGAAATATAAATTAAGGTACGTATTACTGTGTTCTTTGCAAGTTCTTGTTTTTACTGTCATGGTTAAGTTCTGTCTGGGCGATTACCGAATGTTTATGTTTCTGTGAGCACTATGTAAGTTTGTACAGCATGTAAATATATTTCTCTATACACATTCCTGCTGTTTGTGTGTGACTTACTGCGCTGGAGATTATGGTCTCAAGGCTTCATCAGGAGAAAGCTTCTGCTAAATCTTTTAAAGCTAACACATAAAATATTGTTGATTTGGAAGGTCTGAGCAGAGCTGTTAATGACAGAACATTTTGGAAATCATTAACTCATACAGTAACCACACATCAGAAGTGACTTGATGCTTATTTAGAACATTGGCACTGATAACCACTTTATTATTAAAAAATCAGAGGTTTTTCCACTTCATAATGCTGACTTTTTCACAGTCACTATTACAGTCCTTGAAGGCATCCTTCAAAACATCCTTAAAAAAAAAAAAAAAAAAAAAAAATGTATTCCTTCAAAAAATAAAGCAGTTAGGAATAACTATTCTCTTTCAAAATGAGCAAGTTTGGTATTTTCTATGTATTTAATCTGTTTCAAATCTGAAGACAAAAATGGTTTCCAGTGTCTGCATGGGGATGGGGATGGGGGTGGGGGTAGTAAAACAGTTTTACTTTTAAAAATCATAACTACAAAACCATTTGTCCAAATGTCCCCATGTTTGGCACAGAGCATGAGCAATCAGTTTGTTATATCTGTGCCAAATTTGATGCTGATCAGCGGGCATTCAGTAATAACGATAACATTAAAACAGAAATTGGACCTACTTACCTTATAGCTTGATCTGCATTTTTGTGCAGAATTGCTAGATGGTTATTATTTCCATATCTTGTGATTCCAGTGTCAGTTTATCTTGAACAAGGACACTCAGCCTGAATATCTGAATAGTTAGTGAGAAAATTGTAACTCTTTTATTTCAAGTTAACTAGTGCCACTGGTATTTCAGATTTTTATTCTCCCCAACAAATAAAATGTGTTATATACTTTACATGGATCCTATCCTTTAGATCCCTCTTGCTCTGCCTCTGTGACATGGGACCCCACTACTATGACATCACAAGGGTTTTTGATCCTGAACTTTCAGAAAATGTGATGCTGCTGATCTGACAGAGTGCAGACTGTACAAGATGCCTTTCACTTCTCCAGCAAGCCCAGGGCACATTTTTTTTTAAAAAAAATGTTACTGCACTACTCAGATGCTAGTATTTACTTACATTAATCATTTACAGTACACAGTAGGACCCCCTTATCTGTGGGATCAGTATCCACTGATTCACTTATCCATGGTCTGAAAATATTAAAAATATTAAAAGAAAAATCCCAAAATATATTTTAATGATGAAGTTAACAGAACTGCCCACTAGAGGGAGCCAGAGACAATGCTATGTGTAGTATTCACTATAGAAACGAATTCCCACATGTTTACCAGAACTGACGACTAGATGGAGCCAGAGCCCATGCTCTGTAGAGTGTTTGCTCTTCAAATAGGGTTCTGCATTGTTCAGCATCCATGGGGGAGGCTTGGAACTGTTCCCACTTGGATACAGGAGTAGAGATGGGGATATTCGTATTCAACAGGTGAAAATAATGAGG